TCACCCTAGTCAAAATGAAAAATGCCAACTTTATTAAAAATACATTGATGGGGCTAGGGACCAGCAGTTAGCGTTTCGCTGGACTCCCATGTAGTCGACCGCGGTTCGAGTCCTGGACCAGGTGGCTTAAAACATACGCTGGGCACGTGTGCGTGCATGCCCAAGATCCCGAGAGGAGAATGGAGGAGAAGGGATTGTGGTGTGGCCATCTCCCCTGGGCGGGGAGTGATTTCTTGCTTTCTATCTCTCTGTCTCTGTCTGGCGAACATACGCACCCTATAGCAAAAACCTCTTCAGAAAAAGAAAAAAAAATACATTTATGGGGCCAGCAGGTGGCATGGTAGTTAAGGTGCTGGACTCCCACATGACTGACTCTAGTTCGAGTCCTGGAACTGGTGGCACTTTCCCTCTCCCTCTCTCTCTGTCTCTTTGTGGTGAGCACATGTGCCCTATAGCAAATTTTAAAATAATAATAATAACACTAATAAATTTATTAATAGTATTATTAATATTATAAGTATTGAGTAAATTAATAATACCATTAATAAATTTGTTAGTATTATTATGTAAATAAATAGTTTTAAAAGTACATTTACTTATAGGAAAAATCGGGAAGCATGCGAATCTGAGGAAATCAAGTTTTTCCTTTGGAATCCAGAATGTGCCATGGACAACTGGGGTCAGAAGTAGGCTCCCATTTTCCATTTGATCAATGAGTCAAAGTGACAACCAGTCATAAGGCCAGCCTCATGGCCTCATTCGCTTGAAGGAAAAAGAAAATGTTTCTGCTGCTATTCATGGTTCATAGACCAAAGCGCAGCAGAAGTATACAGCTTTACTGCCTGACTTCGTTATGTATATTTCCTATTCTAAGACTGAAACCTGCGTCTATTACTGAAAGAGAGAAAACTATACCCTTTAAAATAAAACAAATTACAATAGAACAGGCGGAAGGAGGAAGGACTGCTTACCTGTTCTGCCTTTAATGTCAGTTCAATAAAAATCTGCTGTAATTTTTCATTAACGAAATTGATACAAAACTGTTCAAAGCCATTTTTCTGGAAGGGGGAAAAAAAACCCAAGTTACTCATATGTAATCATTTTGCGAAGTCATTTAAAAGTCATTTCTTGAGTGATTTAGTGAAATGTCTCGATGTGAAAAGTTCCAACAGAAATGCTGGATGCATCAAGAGAAAGCACAGTTTATATTTAGGAGACCCCGATCTGGTAGAGGTACATGAAGAACTCATGAAGACAAAAATGAGGCAGAGAGGTTTCTGTTTGTTGTCTAGAATTCTTTCTTGTAGGCCAGATAGAATCGATCACCCTCCTCACACCCCGTCAGTTAAACCTGCCTTACCTGGAATATTTCAAAGCCATAGATGTCCAGGACACCAATGTTGTACTCTTCATGGTCCTTCTCCATGGCTTTGTTGATGGACTAGGAGAGAGTGAACAACATCGCAATCAATTCTTTACTTATTTATTTTTAATTTTGCTACAGAGTGTGTGCACTTGCTGGAGAGAGAGAGGGAAGTGAGAAAAGCACCCCCGTGAGGGGATGGCCACACCACCGTCCCTTCTCCTCCGTTCTCCTCTTGGGATTTTAGGCAAGCATGCACACGCATCCTGTGTAATTTTCTAGCTGTAGGCTGTGGGACTTGAACTGTGCAGTAAGCCACAAGGGATCCAGCCATCTTAACTACCATACTACCTGGCTGGCTCAATCAACTCCTTTTTGTTTTTCTTTTTAAAATATTTTTTGCCATAGGGCATGTGTGTTTGGTGGTGAGAGGGAGAGACAAGAGATAGAGAGAGGGAAAGTGAGAAACTATTCCCCCAGGGGGATGGCCATCTCAAACCTCTTCTTCTCCATTCTCTTGGGATTTGGGACACCATGCACACACTCCAGGCATGATTTTTAAGCTGCCATGTCCGGGACTCGAACTGTGGTTGAACATGTGAGTCCAGTGTCAACCATCACACCAAATGCTAGTCCCATCAACTCTTTTTTATACATACTGAAAATAGACATGCATGGGAGAAAGGACAGCAACATTATTGCTCAGAGAAAGCAGAGGACCATGAAGACAGTGACTTGCAACTTAAGAAAGATCTCACTGCAGGGTTGGCTTTATGGCACAGTGGTTAAGGAAGCCAGATCCCACATGGCTGACTACAGTTCAAGTCCTGGCCCCACAAGCTAAAACACACCAGGTGCACATGAATGTATGCCCCAAATCCCAACAGGATGGAGGATAGGAGACTGTGGTGCGACCACACTTTCTCCCTCTCTCTTTTCCTTTCTCTCTCTTTGGCAAGCACACGTACCCTCTGACAATTATGAAAAATTCGTTCTTTTCTTTTCTTTTCTTTTTTTTAAAAGAGAAATATTTGCTACAGGGCATGTACACTTGCCAGAGACACAGAGAGAGTCTGAGAGACAAGAAACGAGAAATCACCCCCCACAGAGGATGCCCACACCACAATTCCTTCTCCTCCATTCTCTTCTTGGGATTTTGGGCACACACACACACATGCACCAGGTATGAGTTTTAAGCTGTGGGGACCAGGACTTGAACCGTAGTCAACTACGTGGGAGTCCAGCAATGTAACCATTACACGGTCTGCTGGTCCCACAAACATGTTTTTTATTTTTTTTTAAAAGATCTCTATATAAAGTCAAATATATACTTTGGGAGACCAATAGGATCCAAGAAAGTTACTACAGTAAGAAAAGAAGAATGTTTGCTTAATTATGGAGACCATTAATTTCTGGCTGTTAGCTTTTCTCAGTAAGTCTTGAGAACTGAAGAAAATGTCACCTGGGATGATCAATGTAAAACATGCTTGACATGAAGAACCGACATGACAAGATCTGTAAGTATTATGTCCAGTGTTTCCCCGTCAGCAGTCAATCAAGGAGCACATAAAACAATATGTCAGGATGAGCTGCCTATCGACGGCGACAGTAGTAATTCTTTTTTTCTTTTTTTTTTAAGACCAAAGAACATCGATTTGAACTTTATTATTTTATTATTTTTAAAATTTGCTATAGGGCACATGCACTTGACAGGGAAAGA